GAAATATCAAATAAATATTATGTGATTAGTTAAAAATCATAATGTTCGTAGCAGTTCTACACTTCATTTACTCTATTACATGATGATGTTGTTGTAGTCAGTTGTTCAGCTGTAAAAACTATTGTATCTTGAGAAATTTCAGTTTCTGGCGCCGCATATGATTGTAATACATCGTTAGTATTACTTTTCAATTTAAGGTCATCAACAATTCTAAGAGATTTTTCAAGAACTGTTTCTAATATATAATCCATCTTTTCAAAATATTTGATTTTTTGATCTTCACTTATATTGAAATTTTCAATAGTATCTGTCAGTGATAATTGGATAATACTGTTTGCAAACTATGTTTACCTAAAAGGATTATATAAATAGTTTCTATGTTGATACTTACGCGTTTATCTCCAGTTGATTCAAGATCATTGATACAGGATGTCATTGATATATGTTCAATTCTTTGACTAATTGAAGGCAAATTTAGTTGTATAATTAATTGACGTGCATAATGACGATAATGGTTGCAAATCTCTTCTGCATGTTTACTAACTAAGATTTGTTCAATAGTTGGATTGACTACATCAAGTTGATTTAAATTTCGATGCGGATTACGATATGTTGCGGGACTCTCTAACTCGCAATTTATTGACGCAACAACACATAATCCACTTGATTGACGGATAATAGTGAAATTCATCTGGTAAATGTGTATGTCATAATATGGTGCCTATAATGAAAGGCGAAATGGAATTATCCCATCTTAAGGATATACTTCAATAATTTAACTTACACTTGAAGAGTGGACGATGATGATACGCAAAGAGGCGGTAGCATATCTGATTTCAGTCGTCGAGCCCACAGTTCTCATAATAATGTCTATGGATGGTTACAATAATAAATATGGTAAGCAATTATAACTCTTACCTGGATGATTGCAGACATTTTGAGTATTAGTAATCACACATAGTATCTCGTTGCACGCCATAAATATTATTTTGAACTAGAAGATAATAAAAACAACATAAACAATTTACGAACCATACATTATGCTAGTTTTTCGTTTTTTCTCCGTTAGTTATTTACTTGTTCTATCAATGGTGTTTTTGTAACGGTGATAGTAAACCGAATCCATTTGTTTTCATATATAAGATGTTCTCCGTCTCCTTTGCACCACCATAATGGTTGTGGTTGATTTGGTCGCTGGGGAAACATGAACACATGCGGATCTGCATACAAAATACAAATACCAGTCTCTAGTTCATCGTTGCGTCCGATTGTATCTGCTTGCTCTAAATATAGCATAGTAATTCTAGATGTTAATATTCTAACTCATCTAATAGTTTCATGAAACATTTTAAAATATCTGTGAATTCATCGAAGTTTATCGTCTTCAACTATTTTCATACGACAAAAAAGACAATATTACCTTGATGAGTCACATAGCACGTAATTAATATCACGTAGATGATTATAATAATTTGTATCGTCGACTTCATCTCAAATAGAACAATGTTATTTTGATACTTCTTCAAAAAAAAACCCAACTTTCAAAAATAATCCATCATGTATATATATATTTAAGTATATTTATAAATATGTGCTATTGATAAGACTTGAAAAGTACTTAAATATTATAGCAACATGTACTCGAAGAAAAAACCAAAGACACGTTATCGCTCATATTACAATAAAATCAAGATTGAATAAATTGTATAAAAAAAGAAGCATTAAAGTCACCTTTATCTTTTTTCTGACAACAATGTAGATCCAGGGAATACTTGCTAAATGAATTAGATTAATATATTTTATTTTGATCAAATAAAACTCATGTTTCTATCTGCAAATAAGAAATAAA